TTTCAGTGTGGCAGCACCTACCATATTTTTTGCTCTATAAGACTCACTTTTTCCCTCCTAAAAAGTAAGGGGAAATGTGTGTGCATCTTATGGAGCGAACGCAGGCTGCGCAGCTATCCCAGAAGCCAGAACAGCAAGAGGGATTGCTGCTTTCACTGCGAGGCGATCCCTCTTGCTGTCCTGGCTTCTGAGATTCAGAATATTTTTTTTCTTGTTTTCCTCCTCCAAAAACGAGGTGCGTCTTGTGGTCTGGTGTGTCTTATAGAGCGAAAAATACAGTAATTGTTCTGCACTTCCAAAATTGTTCTGTCAGCGTGGCAGCACCTACATTTGGGAACTCTCCATCTGTTGACATCAGGTGGGTGCCTGTGGTGCATTCTTCCTGGTGCCTCCTTGCAACATTTTTAATTTAGGCATTGCAGGGGGCCAGACTGGATGACCCCCAGGGTCCCTGCAATCTATGGTTCTATTCAGGCATGTGGGTGTGTTTTAACCTCTTCCGTGGTTAATTTTAATTATTCTTAGTTGTTTTTCACTGTTTTCTTTATTGATCATTTTAATATAGCTTGCAAACCCCTTGGATCAAAACAGTAGGTCGAGTGGGCACAATTACTGAAAGTAAGTATTTATTATGATTGGGGCTGTCATCTGTTTAAACAGTTTTTAACTGGTGGATTACCCACCTTTTGGCTGGTTAAGTGCATAAATAGTCAAATTGCTTCCAGGTGCATATGAGACAAAGCCCCAATGTTGGACGCTGCCTTTCTGAGATACTGCAAGAAGTATGAGATTACTCACAGTCAAAGTACTAGTCGCTGTGAGTGGCAAAAAAGCCACCTTTACTTCTCCTCTTTTTATTCCCTGTTTCAATAATGCAACGGGAGTCTTGCTGTCAAAGGAGTTCCAGGGGCATGTAGTCTGCCTTCACCTCACATCCATATCCGTCCTTATTCATTAAATTCGCCCCGAGCCCTTAAAATGAAATTAAACCAATAAATTCCAACATCCTTACTTATAAGTGCAGCGTTACAGAATGTGCTTTGAACCCTGCACTTTATCCAGGTTCCCCTGAGCAATGCAAGCCATTGCTCTTCAAATGCTGAGGACCCATGGACTGCCCTTGCCCCTGACATGAGATGGCTTGGACCAGTGGCACAAAACAGGGTGAGCCACAGGAAAAGGAGAAAAACTGAGCTAGGGAAGAGAGAACATGGGAGAGCATGGGGGTTGTCTACACCACATATCAATACTGATTTTGTTCTAGTTTAACTTGCATGGATTCTACCCTCTGGAATCCTGGATCTTGTAATAATAATAATAATAATAATAATAAATTTTATTATTTGTACCCCACCCATCTGGCTGGGCTTCTCCAGCCACTCTGGGCAGCTTTCAACAAAGATTAAAAACCACCCTCTGCTATAGATTTCTGCCTGCCTACCCAGAACTGCAGCTCCCATTGTTCCCCCAAAAAGAAAAGAAACAAAAAAGAAACAGAATCAATACTTCTTTGAAAAAATCACAAAAGCATTTTCTGTCCCATAAAAAAACAAAAAACTGGTCAGAATAAAAAGGCCTTTAGCAGCTGGGGGAAAACAGCGAGGGAGAGGGTCTGGCTGCACGTGAGGGGGCAAGGTGCTCCATAATTTGGGTGCAGCCACTGAGAAGGCCCTGTCTCTTGTCCCAGCCTGCCCGCCTTCCATCCTAGACACAGCGAAGGGCCTCTCTTTCCATTCTTAAGGAAAAGATAGCATGGTGTGTGTAGGAAGCAATCCATAAAGTATTCTGGGCTGAAGCCGTCTAGGGCTTTAACCACCCAAACTTTGAATTGTGTCCAGAGTTGAATTGGAGACTAGTGCAGCCATCTGCAGGACCAACGTACTGTGATGCCATGAGCAGCATCCACCAGCATCTTTGCAGCTGCTGTTAGTTATACACCTACTACGAAGCAGGAGCTAGACTGAAATCAGCAGAGGAAAGGAAGGGCAGCCTTTCTTGAGCATACTGTTGAGACAGATGGTCTCTCTCAGCAGGTCTAACCTAGTGCTTCATAGCCCTTCCTTGAGCAACAGGACATCTCAGGAAGACAACCTTTTATGGATCCTGTTTGCTTATGAGGGGAATATACTGGTCAGACAGAGAGGAGAGGGAGAGGGAGAGGGAGAGGGAGAGAGAGAGAGAATCAGATGTCAATGGAGATAGTGCTAGTTTTTAAAGCAGTATCAGTTTATCTCAGAAGCAAATATCATGTTCTTGAGCTCCCGAACCAGCAGCAAAACACACACACTTGCACACACAAACCCTCACACGTCTGCTTCATGGGCTGCAACTGAACCATTGCAACTTGTTCTCTCCAGGTGGGATGTTGCCGGCAGACAGTAGCCACCAGCCCTCAAAATGCCATTCATCAAACACCTTCACCCTCGACTGACCTGCAGGGACCATTAATGGAATGTTTTTTAGTCATTCCCTATCCAGGGGGAACCATTTTTGTTGTAGTTGTAGAAACATAGGAACCTGCCTTAACTCAAGTTAGACTACGGGTCCATCTAGCCCGGTGCCAACACTGACTCTGCAAGGTTTTCCGATGGGAGTCCTTTGCAGATTTACCTGGAGATGTTGGGGCTTTCTGCATGCAAGACAGAAGCTCGCTGGAGCTAAGGAGAGTTGGATACACAGAGAATGCATGCTCAAAGTGGGTGGAATTAGGGCTGTGGTGAGCATAGCTGGGGTTGAAATTGGGTGCGCACCCGTCTTTCTCTCCCTGCAATCCCACCCTCCTCCATTTTCTCCCCTTGCCCCCTGTCTGCCCCTCTTCTGCACAGAAGCATAGGCACAGTTAAATGTATCTTCAGGTGGCATGCCATAAAAGCATGCCTGTGTCACACCAGCAAAGCCCAGGGCAAACGCTGAGCAAATGTGATGTGCACAGACCCTAAATCTGATTTCGTCTCTGCAACCCAATTGATCTACGGATCAATTTTCCATGTGTTTTCTTGCACAAAATTCTGGAACTCTTACACACGTCCCAAGACCAGAGAGAGCAAACGGCTGTCAGGCTAAAAATCACAAGCGAACAAAGATTCTCGCAAAAATAGTCTGATTCCTATTTTTATCAGATGTTATTTACTCACTTCTTGCTTTGAAGTATGCATTTTTAATTCCATTTCACGCCAAGGCAACCATAAGATAAATTATGCTGACCAGTGTAAGGGAAGGAGGGGGAATATCTCATGGCTGTGGAGAAATCCAGAATTTCTCTTTGCCTAGAGTTCTGCGGATATAGAGTTTCAGGACAATTCAATCTGGTTTCAACTTAGGGATGGGGAAAATGAAGAAATACTTTAGCAGCAGTGATAGAGTAGACCTGTGCATATCTACTCAGAAGTAAGCCCCACTGCAGTAAGGCTTACTCACAAATTGATTGAATTACACTGCAACTCCAGACCTATGGAATCCCATGGGCCTAAGTCTGCAGCCTGGGTGGATATGAGGGTGAGGCAGGGAGCAGGAATTTGACCATTTGTCCCCAGTATGCCCCTTGCATTAACTCCACATCCAGTATATAGACAACTACTTACACAGTAGGGAGACGGCAGGTGGTGGTGGTGGTGGTGGTGGTGGTGTGTGTGTGTGTGTGTGTGTGTCTAACAGAGGCATCCTGACTTTCCAAACACTTTCCAAACTCCAGTTGCTATAGCAACTTAGGAAAGCTTTCTAGAAAGAGAAACACACATCACTTCTGAACTTCACCTCATCTACTTCATTAAAGTGTGTCGCAGCTGTTTGTGTTTGTTTGGATTTCTGAAAGGGGCACACACGTGTGCATCGCTCAACCCACACTCTTCCATTTTTGGGTGGGGGGAAATGAAGTCGACAACAAAACAATACCATATGTATGATCACTGGCAATCTTTGCAAATGTCGTCCACTCCTAGTCCTTAACTCCCTCCCATGCCCTCCTCCTCCCTGCAGATCAGTTTCAGAAGTGACACTACAAAGTGCAGTTGAACCTCTTGTACAATATTTGCACTTCCTGGCAAGGCAGGTAGGACTACAGGAGAGAGAAAAAAACTCCAACCCAAAATGTGCACTCTAGTTAATTGGCATTTTCTATTCACATTAAAGACCGGCTGGTTTACATTCAAACTGATCCAAAGCTCACACCTGAAAACGTATCAAAAGGATGGTTATATAATCATATGGAAATGGTGATCTGAATGCAAATCTATGTTGCACAGAATGCACTTTATATTTAAATTGGGCCTCCCATCTTTATAGTGGCAAGCACACGAAAGCTTCATGTGATCTTACATAGCGTGAAAACACCCTTAGCGTAGATGCTAATAAGACAGATTCTTCAAATTTCACATTGGACTTCAACCTAAATGAAAAGGGGGGGCACGTTGATGAAAAGGAGAGAATGAATGAGAGTTTGGGGGTGGGTGGGTGGGTGGGGGTACAGAGACAAAAAGGGACAGATCCAGGGGGGAGGAAAGAGAAAGGAATTGGGATACCAAAATGGGGGGCGGGCAAAATAAGTAGCAGGCAAGTGGAGAAAGGAAGATGAGAATGCAAACATATTGAGAGAGAAAGGTGTACAACATTTGGAATTATTGTTTTGGGCTTATGGGTAGGGTTATCAATGTTTGTTGTAGTTCAAATAATATTATGTTTATATATGCTGTAAGCCACCCTGAGACCTTCTGGTGAAAGGTGGGTAAGAAAGAGAATAAATAAATAATTTGAAAATAACTTATTCAACACTGTACAAAATGACATCAGCTTGCAAACTACTTAGACCACTAGGCTTCTCTGTTTTGGAACAATGTTACTTCACACATACACACATTTCTAAATAGGAAGCATTTTAGGTTTTGTGTTTAAATGGATGAATCTATGAATGGTGTGGTGAACAACATTATTGCCCTTTTACTTCTTAAGAATGTGGTGTTGACTCTAGACATTTGACAGAGAGAGAGAAAGAGAGAGAGACTTACCTATAGTTGACACCACTGTGCCCACAAAATAGAATGCTCCTGTGAAATCCCATCTTGGTCGGAGGGCATCTGCCCTGATGCCGGCAGCCATGGCTGCCTCATAACTTCTTAAAAAGGCCCGTAGCTCAGGGAGGCTAATGTTGAAGATCTGGCTGAAGTTCTGAAGGGTCCAGTTCCAACGCTGCAAAGCTTCTGCTTCAGATGGGCTTTCGATGGCTGAGAAGATGGTGGCTCCAGCTGTCAGGTATGCTATGATGAGCACCGCTAAGAGGACAAACCTACCATTGTCCTCGTTGAAATGCGACACGCAGCAGCAGCCCTGAGATCTCCGGATAGACATCATCCAAATTTCAGCACCATAGAGGTGATGGACAGCGACCAACACCTCATTGGAGACAGCGGCATGGAGCTACCACCCAGTTAAAGAGTCCAAGAGGAAAATTTGGGTCCTTCTTTGTAAGGCTTTCTTTTCTGAGTCATGAATCTTGGCTTGTCATGTTCAACAAAGAATTCCACCTATCTGTATCCCACAGGGCTCCCCCACATCACCCTAGGACCACAGATTTTTTTAGAGCCATGCTGGGGGTTCTGTCATTCTTGCAGTTCAACGTTGAGCTCTTGACTTCACCGGCCATTAAGGTGTAAGAAATGGCTTTAGTTTCCCAACCCAGATAGCTCCACTTGGCCACATTCTTTGTATTCCAGCTGTTATCTGAACCAACGGCTAGCAATGAGCAAATGTATTCAATCCATTTCAGTAATAGTGAGGTATGGTAGGCAAGGCCGACAGAATCTGGTGTCGTCTTCTTCCTGAAGGATTCCCAACGGAGTAAGTGATCTCTTTGCAAACGGCCATCCTCCCGCACCCCACTCCTTGCTAACCCCTGCTCCCTTTTAGTTGAGGGGGCCTGGAGATAAAACTCATTCAATGACACATGACCAACATAGATAGTTCTTCTCTGTTGGGTCTCCTAGATTCTTTGTGGAAGTTGCCTTCTTGTGTGCCAGATGTATCTGGAAAGCTACTTGAAGCAAGGGCAGGAAAACAGAGGCCAGCTGCCTTCAACACAATCTTGGAGGCTGCCAGAGTGTACATTCAGACAGCATTTATTGATGTATTTAATCTGTATTTAAGTCACTTTGATCCATCCAACTGGCCTCTCCCTTTCTCACTTGCTTCAACTTTGAGGGCATCTCCCATGGGTTGGAAAGACCTATATCAATGAGATATCAGCAGAGCTTTATTTAGGTCTCAGCTCACTAACCCGCATCCCTCTTTGTAGATCTTTATGCTCAAAATGGATTTTTTTTTTCAGCGAAATGCTTGCCATATGCAACAGAGCATTCGCCTGTGGGGTGGTGTGACTTTTGTTTTTGTTAGCATGCTGGTATCACTCCAAGAACCTGACTTGCTCTTTACACACAGAGAGACAGAGTTATAGATTTCACCCTCCCAAACCAAGCAACTGTTAGGCATGCACTTCAAAACGAAGAAATTTAAAGAAGAAAACAGACTAAAACTAAAGGGGCTAAAAAAGGACCAGGAGGTCATCCAGCTGGACCCCTTTCTTAACGCATCACCCACCTGCCCTCTATACAACCCTTCCAGATTAACCCACACTTAATTCACAACATAGTGTGCCAAAAGCAAATGGTACTTTACCAAGCTTACCCCCCTCCCCTTTACCTTCCTGTTTATTCATACAGAACTACCCCTGGGTACTTCTCTTTCCGCTTCCACTTCAGAAGCTTTAGTTTGGCCATTCATCTTCTCTCCCCACCCCACCCCCAGTTCCCGGAGCCCGCAATCGCAGCCTCCAGCCCAGCGCTTCCTTTAACCCAGACGTGAGCAAACACGCACCATCTTCTTTTTCAAAGTACTTCTGTTTCCCCGGAACGTGCAGGTTCTTTTTTTAAGCCCCCAAAACGTTCCTGAAGTGGCTTCTGGTAAACCTGGCGGTGCTGATGGGTCGCCTTCACCTCTACTCCTTGATCCGAATTGCCAGCGCTGGCGGTGGGGAGAATAGCTGGGAAAGGCAGTGCGGCTGTTCAGCACCACGGATAGCGCACTGCAGCTCCGCGTGCGCCCGCGACTCCAGTCTCGCTCCCTCTCTCTCAGTCCCCGCCTGTAGTTGAGCTCAGAGGGCTGGCAGAGCGGGGGGGGGGGGGAGGCTGTTCCAGCTCCACCTTGCGAGTCGATCCACGATCGTTGCCTCCCTTCCTCGTTTCTCTCGCGACGGATCTGGGTCTTGCAAAGCGCGCCGGCTCGCCCAATGCGAAGCAAATGGGGCTGGCCAGAACCTGGCGGTTGTGCCCGCCCTTCGCCACCAGCCGGGAGAGCTCTTTCTTTTTATTATTTCTATCCTTCCTTGTTGGACCTGCTGTCTGTGCTTGAGGGGCGTTTCTGATGCTGATGCACGAGGTTTCCATTTATTTATTTTTCGGGAGGGTGGCTGGGCGCGCTCAGAGGGAGGCTGGTCCAGGGCAGGAATTATTTCCAGAAGCAACAGCAAAAGGATCTGCCGCAAAACAACAACAACAACCCCCAAACAGAACAGAACAAAAACCGCTTGGTTCTGGAAGAGGGTTGGTGTCTTCACGTCCTGCAGATCGGGCAGAGGAGCATCACTTTTCTCTGCGTCGAAAGTCCAGGACAGTTTCTGAAATCTTTCTCGATGACTTGGCGTCTGTGCCTTATGTCCAGTCACTATACCAAAATACCTGTCATATATGTTTGCATATAAACATACATCGATTTGATGGAACAGGTGTGCATAAATTGATGCACAGCGGTTCAATTAAGCCTACATCTATCTATCTATCTATCTATCTATCTATCTATCTATCTATCTATATCTGTATCTATCTATCATCTCTATCTATCGCTATCTATATCTATCTATCTATCTATCTATCTATCTATCTATCTATCTATCTATCTATCTATCTATCTATCTATCTATCATCTATCATCTAGCACAGCTTTGCAGAGAAATACAAAAACTGATTTAAAGAAAAAAAAAATTCCTTCCAGTAGCACCTTAAAGACCAACTAAGTTAGTTCTTGGTATGAGCTTTCGTGTGCATGCACACTTCTTCAGATTTGCTCATTTATGGCCAGGGGGTATCTGAATGGTATCTGGTATCTGAAGAAGTGTGCATGCACACGAAAGCTCATACCAAGAACTAACTTAGTTGGTCTTTAAGGTGCTACTGGAAGGAATTTTTTTTTGTTTTGACTATGGCAGACCAACACGGCTACCTATCTGTAACAAAAACTGATTTAGTCACCCATTATTCACCCAACCAATACCAGCCCGTCCATCTCCAAATAGCACTAGTTACAGACAGACTCATTGAGGCGGGAGAGGGGGAAGGAAGCAAAGGATATAAATATAAATTCTATTATTATTATTATTATTATTATTATTATTATTATTATTATTTCACAGACCTCAAGAAGGCAGCACTGCTGCCTTCTCTGTGCAAGAGGTTTTGCATTTCCGAAACAAACAAATCAACCACAGACCTCTTCAACCAGTGACAATAATGGGAGAAAATAAATACAGGTGTACACCAAAGGCATTCAGCCAATGCCTCTCTATTATATACCCCTCAGCTCTTCAAACTTCTTGTGTCCCTCCAGCCTATGTGTTGGGGGGGGGGGCTGAGACATCCTTCTTGGTTTCAAGGAACTGTTGCTCTGCCATGTCTCGGTAGATGCAGGTTGGTGGAAAGATCTAATTATATCTATTCTATATATATAAAGGTAAAGGGACCCCTGTCCATTAGTCCAGTCGTGACCGACTCTGGGGTTGCGGCGCTCATCTTGCTTTATTGGCCAAGGGAGCTGCCGTACAGCTTCCGGGTCATGTGGCCAGCATGACTAAGCCGCTTCTGGCGAACCAGAGCAATGCACAGAAACGCCGTTTACCTTCCTGCCGGAGTGGTACCTATTTATCTACTTGCACTTTGATGTGCTTTCGAACTGCTAGGCTGGCAGGAGCAGGGACCGAGGAACGGGAGCTCATCCAGTCGCGGGGATTCGAACCGCCAACCTTCTGATCAGCACGCCCAAGAGGCTCAGTGGTTTTGACCACAGGACCACCCGCGTCCCTATTCTATATATATAAGCAAGCACAATTTTATGAATATTCCAGTAGGATCTTGTTTTATTCAGCGGTCTGATCTGCACCCCCTGCAAAATGCCTTTGTCAACATATGACTATGCAGACTCTTGAGTCTTTGGGGCATTCTTGCGTGAGAGCCAGTCGTAAAAGTGGACTCGTTTGGCACAGAGCAGTGTCATAAGATTTATCTATTTATTTATTTGTTCATTACATTTATATCCCACCTTTCTTCTAAGGAGCTCCAGGTGGCATTCATTGCTCTTACTGCCCCCCCCCTCATTTCACCCTTACAACAACCCTGTGAGGCAGGTTAGGCTGGGAGATAGTGGCTGACCTAAGATCACCCAGTGAGGGTCATGACTGAATGAGGATTTAAACCTGGATTACCTCAGTCCTGCTCTGATACTCTAACCCAGGGGTCAGCAAACCTTCTCAGCAGGAGGCTGGTCCACTGCCCCTCAGACCTTGTGGGGGGCTGGACTATATTTGGGGGGGGGAATGAACGAATTCCTTAGCCCCACAAATAACCCAGAGGTGCATTTTAAATAAAAGGACACATTCTACTCATGTACAAACACGCTGATTCCCAGACCATCTGCGGGCCAGATTTAGAAGGCGATTGGGCCATGCTCTAACCACTACACCTGCTTGTGATTGAGTAGTGCCACTATACGCTAGATAACTTTAAAAGTTGCAGCATTTATTTTATTTTTTGAACTGTGTTTTCAGAGTGGAACAATACAGTGAAGAGCCAGCTGTGTTCCCACTGGACAGAGCAAACATGCTTCCAGAAAGCAACTGGGAGAAAAGGTGTGTGTGTGTGTGTGTGTGTGGGAGAGAGAGAGAGAGAGAGAGAGAGAGAGAGAGAGAGAGAGTAGCTGCAAGGAAAAAGAAGGGAGGGTGAGGGTAAAGCACCTTCTCAACCACTTGCTGCTTTTCTACTTCAAACTGTACTTCCTACTATCTTACATCTCTTTGGTAGGGACTGGGCATTCCTGGGAGGTAAACATAAATCCATGGAAGTGAGAGCTGGACCATAAACAAGGCTGATTGCCAAAGAATTGATGCTTTTGAATGATGGTGCTGGAGGAGACTCTTGAGAGTCCCATGGACTGCAAGAAGATCAAACCTCTCCATTCTGAAGGAAATCAGCCCTGAGTGCTCACTGGAAGGACAGATCCTGAAGCTGAGGCTCCAATACTTTGGCCACCTCATGAGAAGAGAAAACTCCCTGGAAAAGACCCTGATGCTGGGAAAGATGGAGGGCACAAGGAGAAGGGGACGACAGAGGACGAGATGGTTGGACAGTGTTCTTGAAGCTACAAACATGAGTCTGACCAAACTGCGGGAGGCAGTGGAAGACAGGA